AGCCCTGCCTCTGATGAAAGCAGAAGGCTTCTTGCTCTGGGGCTGTCTAGGATATCAAAGTGGACTGGAAAAGCCTCTGACAGGTGGACATCTGAAGTGTTTCCTTGAGACTCACTCAACTTTCTGAGCAGAGTCATGGTATCTCTTGGGTTTATTCTGTCACAGAAATAAGGGAGTTAGCTTGGTGCCCTTCACACTAAGCAGAGTTATATATGAGAAAAGCAGAACGGAGGTTACTCTATTTGACCTACGTAGATCTCAATGTGTTTCTTGAACCTGGCAAGCTGAGCACTGTTTGGGGCTTCATGAAAGTTAGAAAGCCAACATTCAATTTATAACCTCTGTAGGCAACCAACAGGGGCTGCTATTATGGAATAGTAGGCTGCCTAAATCAAATAATCTTAAGGAAAACCCAAAGCCTCGTCTGCCTTTTGCACTAGCACACTCCATTCTTGGAGGTGCTTCAACGAGTGATCCATGTCCTAGCTGCCCACACATCCCAGTTAAAGGACAACCCAGGGAGAGCTGGCAAAACCAGAAGTTTTGGTCATGGACTTTTGAAGCGATGGGTTTCATACAGAGTGAGCTGCCACTTTGGTTACAGGGGAAGTGGACAAAGAAAGAGAAGAGAGGGGAAGGAAGAGATGGAAATGGTTGGGCACCTAGAGCGGATCCAGGGAATAAAAGAGTCAAGGTAGCAAGGGCTCTAGGCAGCAGGAAGACATATAAGTATGAGCCAAGAAGTTGAAAACACCTGGAAATGATTGGCAAAACAGTGTGATACAGTGGCAAACTTGGAGCTGTTTCTATTTAGCAGTTGCTTTCCATACATCATATCACTATTTAGTGTTATTATCTCTATTTGCAAGTGAATAAACTGAGGTTCACTGAACTCAGTAAAGAATTTTTCTAAAGTCACATGACAAGAAAAAGCTAGGGCCAGGATTTGGATCCAGAGGTCATGCTTTCTGCTATTTTACTATGGTGCCTCTAAAATTGTTGCTGGATCCCAGGTGTTCCAGGGCCTGGAGGCTGAGCAGACTTAGGTGTTTTGAGGCAGAATACACAACCTTGTGTTCCCTTGTGCTGCTGGTCACTCACTGTCTGTCTGTCTGTCTGTCTGTCTTTCTGACCCAGGAGCTCTTTGGAAGAAATGGGTTCGAATATATGATGTTCCAATTGTTCACATCCTCAACCAAGGACCTGCTCTTCAGTGATGACACAGAATGTTTGGCTAAACTTCAGGACAAAACATCTTATCAAAAATACTTAGGGCCAGAATATCTTATGGATATTGCTACTGTGAGACAATGCGTACCCTCTGGTGAGTAGAATACAACACTGAGGAGCAATAACATGGGGGTCACATTATATAAAGGACCATCATTTGCCAAGCCCTGGGCCAATACTAATAGGAACACAAAGATTCAGAGGGCTTGCTCCTGGCTCTGTGGGAGGGTTTGGACTTACAACGAGGATTCATTTACACAATAGTAATAAGACACTACCTGAAAAAAGACCAAATCATTTGGAGGAGACAGAGAGTACAATAGAACTTCAGATTATTTGGAAATTGAACTTCTTTACATTTGTATTTCATTTTTTTTGCTAATCAAATGAAAACACGTTTGTGAGCACTTCAAATTTAGGGAGAGGGTTAGGAAGTGACATGTATATACCACTTAGAGGACCAGTTTTCAAAGATTTTAAGTAAGATGTAAAAAATATTAATAGAAACAAATAAAATACAGTTAGCACTAAAGTGACCCTTTCTAGCTATATGTGTGTGTATGTATATATATTAGAATGGTATAGCTACCTCTAAAAGAGGTAAGTTGAAAAAATAAAATTAGAATTTAGTAATCAAATTATTGGGAGTGTGCCAGAATTTTTTTGAATTATATTGTATGCTGGAGATGATGAAAGCAGGAGGAAAGGAAAATGTAGGTATTTAAGGATAGCACTGATATCACTGAGTGGGTAGGGAGAGAGAGTTAGTTAAAAAAAAAACCAAACAACTTTATTACCTACCATTTACTTTTAGAAAATAGGAACAGAATTGTGTTTAGTAAGCACAGGCAGTACCTGAAGATCTTTCTTATATTATGCTTCACAGAACTTCTTGATGCCTGCACATTCCATGGAAATTAAAAAATGATCAAAGGGCAACTGCAGAGATGCTCCGAGCCTGCAAATCCGGTGGGGCCACAGTCTCACTTATCTACATGAGGGTCTGTGTTAACATCATTACCTTTATAACCATTTCAAAAATTAAAATGAATAAAAATTATTGTGTTGTCTCAAAAAAATGTCTGAAATGTTCTCACATTTTTGGAGGAGAAAACTATTTCTCTATATTAGAATTGTGTTTATTAAACTGTACCTTTTTTTGAACTCTACAAGACTAACTCAACTTCCCTCCCTATTCTTTGATTATTTTACCCAAAAGTCAAGTCACTTTAATAGAATTTATGCAATAAATCTGTCTGAATAGAGTCTGAGTCATGATTACAAGCATGCAAAAAGCATCAGGATGCGTAGTATCAAAGGCTTACATAATAAAAAAAAAGGATAAGGAGTGAGTTTATTTTCAAAATATATTTCGACTTTTAAAATTTGTAATATCAAGTAGAATTAAACTTCTGATTCAGATTAATTGGAAAATATTGAAAGGACTACAAGAATCCAATCCTACTGCCCATTTGTGGTCCACTTCCTGGAAATGTAATTTTTACACTCATTTCTTTTTAGTCAGTTTCTTATCAGAGATTTTGCTATATCCATTATTACCATAATTTCAGCCTATGGTAGTGCCATGAATGCTGTTGAATAAGAACCTAAGTTATATATTATTAAATGTCAGTTTTATGAGTGTGGACTTCTGCTTCTGCCTATGAAAGAGTAACCAGCATAAGACTTGCCCTCCTTCCATAAACGACTAAAAAACTGGACAAAATATATAAAAAAACTGGACAAAATATATAAAACAACTGTTTTCAAACATTGGCAATAACAGCACAGGACTATGATCCCTAAAAGATGGGAAGAGGTGGGCAGAACGATGATCCTACTTTTTGCCCAGAGGAAATTTCCAGATCACAGCATAGCAGGGGCAACTTAAGGAAATCCATCACACTGAGTTGAAGAAACAGAGATAGGAGCTTTGAGAAGCCAGAGTGGATTGGACTTTGTATACAGAAGAGGTCTGATAAGTATTATTCTTTTGTCAGATACTAATCTCCATGCATGTAAATGAAATTGAAATTCATCAGGCTGGGCAAAGAATAACTGCAAGAAACCTGTAAGCTGAATGATTCCCAGGGCTCACAGAGGGCCAGGAATCATTCATATTGTTACCAACCAGAGTGAAGAGACCTCATTGGATACCTATGGATTTCACTGGAAGCCATGCCTTGGAGATGGGTCTAAAATTGCTGCAGATTAAGGGCTGCTCTATACCTGCCCTTACTGAGAGTAAAACTAGCCTTGGTAGTATCGAGCCAATCTGCAAGTAACTTAACTGCCTTCTAAAATAAACTTCAATAGTCATTAAAGGAAGAAAACAAAATCTAAATATTCAACAATGTAGCATATATAATGTTCAGAATCAAATGCAAAAATTACTAAATATGCAAAGAAGTACAAAATGTGACCCAGAGTCAGAACAAAAAAATCAGCCACACACCTGGAAACCACAGATGATCATATTCGGACAATAAATTTTTACTTTATAAACATGGCCAAGGATTTAAATGCAAACATGAACATAACAAAGAAAAGTGTAAGATTTAACAACAAATCAGTGAAAAACTAGAGCTGCAAAATTTGTTTTTCAAGGAATTTGCATATTTCATCTAAATTGTCCATTTTTGCCATAAAATTGTTCAAAATATTTCCTTATTTAAAAAAAATATTTATAGGATATATAATCTCTTCTTCTATTCTCCATACTAGTAATTTGTGTTCTCTCTCTCTCTCTTTTTTTATTGATCAGTCTAGTTGAACTTTACAAATAACAGATTTTTGGTTTCATAAATTTTCACTATTGTTTTTGATTTTCTATATAATTTTCTGTTCTTAGCCTTATTTCCTTTCTTCTACTTACTTTTTATTTCATTTACTTCCTTTCTTAGGTTCTTAAGGTGCAAGCTTAGATAAATTATTTAGAACATTCTTCTTTTCTAATATAGACATTTAAAATTATAAATTTCCTTCTAAGTATTACTTAAGCAGCATTCCACAAATATTGATATGTTATATTTTCATTATCATTCAGGTAAATTTTTTTTCTAATTTCCCAAAGATTTCTTCTTTAATTTGTTGATTATTTAAAAGTTATTCTTAAGTTCTAAATATTTGGTGATTTTTCAGATATGCTTTTGTTATTGATTTCTAATGTAATTCTTTTGTGGTCAGGGGATATATTCTGTATAACTTCAATCCTTTTAAATTTATTTATTTATTTATTTATTTATTTATTTATTTATTTATTTATTTATTTATTTTATGGGATATTTGATTATTTATTTATATTTTATGGCCGGCATATGATCTATCTTGGTGGATGTCCCATGTATACTTGAAAAAAAAATGTATTCTGTAATTGTGAGGTATAGTTCTATAATATGTAGTTTTGTAAAATATAGTTTAGCTCTATAAATAGCAATTAGGTCAAGTCGATAATATTATCATTCAAATCCTCTGTCTTGACTCATTTTCTGTCCACTTTTGTGCATTAATTACTGAAAGAGGACTGAAATCTCCAACTCTAAGTATGGTTTTGTTCATTTCTCTTTCCAGTTCTATCAGATTTTGCTTTATATATTTAGAGACTGTTAGACGCATACACATTTCTTGATGAATTAACTCACTGGTGCTGGGGAAGAGCTGTCAAGTACCCTACCTTCGCTTTCTCCCAATTCTAAGAATTTGGAAAGAAGACTGGAGCAGATAATTAATATTTAGCATTTCAATATAGTTGAGGTTCCAATGGACCCCTTTAGAGGATTAATAAAAGCCTGAGACTCTCACCCTAGTAAAACACACACACATTACTTGGTGTACAATTTTTGTGTATTCGCTGCTCTAGTCCAGTGATTCTCTGCAGCCTCACAGCCATCTTCCCCTGGGCTGAAAAAGTGGGGATCAAGGCTACTTAATCCATTTTCGGGCAGATGCTGCCTTGCGGGGCTAATAAGTATTAAATTACACATATAGACAAGCTGCATATATTTATGGAAAAGGCCTATCTGTGGGAACATTTAGAACAAGTAAGAGGGTAAGACAATTCAATTGTGGAAACCAGTGGTTGACATCAATTGTCTATAAATCTGTATAGGTCAGAGGTTTACTTTGGAATAGCAGGGAAATCAGGTGGAATTTGCTCTTCTCTTCCCATAGACAGCAGGGACATTAAATAATGGTGTTTGCTGTGAGGGCAATAGTGGGATCAGTGATCTGTTTGTTTTGGCCCTAGGAGCACTAGTCTCTGCTCAGCTTAAGCAGCTGCTTCTCAAGGGCTCACCCGATGATCTCAGGATTTGGCTTTTCTGGGTGAAACAGTAATGGGAAGTGAAATCCCTAAGTAATCTTGAATGACACCTTTCAAGAAAATGTGTCACAGGATGGTGAAGACATTCCTTTACTGAGTCCGAAGTCCTAGGTTCTAGCTTTGCCTGCCTTGCTAGGCATTTTCCCAGTTATGTCCCCAATTTTCCTTTTTGTAAAATGAGGTCATTGTATAAGGTGGTCTCTCAGGGTGTGTTTTGCTGAAGGGCCCATTAGCAACATAAGGAGCCATAAAGAAATTACATGGAGTCACTTTATTAATGTACTTAACGTGTCATCAGTACTTAACACATGCCAGGTGTTCTGTAATAATGATAGTCATTTACATCTATTGGTGACTGCTGCATGCTAGCTAGAGCCAGCACTTTAATAGCACTGTGAGTAATCTTCAAAATGACCCTAGAAGGTAGGTATTCATATTTCTATTACTAATGAGAAGATGGGGGCTAAAATAGATAAATAACTTGTCTAACACCACGCAGCTTCTAAGTGCCCTAGGATTCAAAGCCGGAGTCTCTGACTCCAATTTCATACCCACTTTATTCCACATATTGCACATAATACCCTGTAGTCCTTAAGAATGAACAGGTAAATAAAAGAAGTACACAGGTAACTGGTATACAGAGAAAACATGCTGCTAGGATCTGTCCGCTGTATTCTCTACGATGCATTGTTTAGGATCTAGTGGTCAGCGTGCTTACAGGGCTTCTTGATGTGTTGTGACCTGATGAGTTTGGCTCACATGAAATTCACAGCACTTAAATGGGGAAGATATTGGTAGCAACACAAATAAAAATAAGAATAATAATGTGCTGGCTACAGTACTAGATGATTTACTTTAATTGCTAATTTAGTTCTCTTAATAACCCTATAAATTAGATATTATCATTAAAAAGATTTTTTAAATAACAGTTGACATTCAACATTGTATTGGTTTCAGATTACAGCATAGTGATTAGACATTTATATAACTTACGAAATGATCCGCCCTTAAGTCTATTACCCACCTGAATTTTTACAATATTATTTACTATATATTCCCTATGCTATAATTTACAGCCCATGACTATTTTGTAATGACCAATTTGCATTTCTTAATCCTTTCACCTTTTTAACTCAGTTCCCCCAACTCCTGTTCCATCTGGCAACCATCGAAATGTTTTCTGTATCTATGAGTTTGTTTCTGTTTTGTTTGTTTGTTTATTTTGATTTTTTTAGATTCCACATATAAGTAAAATCAAATGGTATTCATGTTTCCCTGTCTGACTTATTTCGCTTAGCAAAATAAGTAGATATTATTATTTCCATTTACTAGATGAGAAACTGAGGCACTGAGAGTTAATAACTTGCTGAATTCACTGAACAACTGAAAGTCTTACTGTAAAGAAGTGAATGTGTAAAAGCAAATGACCAAACCACACTAGCTTTAGTGGTGTCCCCATTCAGGGAGAACCAGGGCCATGTTCTCCTCTTGTCCTAATCTTGGCAGTTGTGATTATATCTCATATTTACTTAATGCCACTTCTACCACCACTCGGTTTCTGCTTTGTACTGAACAGATGACTTTTGAATACAAGTTTGAG